GCTGAACCGTTTCTCCCAGACATCAATCTTCAGTATTACGAGGAAGTAGGCTGCATAGGCCCAGCAAAGGGGATCCTCTTACATCACGTGGAAATCTGCCTTTGATAACAACAACCCTCTGTGAATCTTGAAGAATATGTCAATGACAGTAGAACAATCAGATAGTCATATACATACTGTATCTCATTTAATTTCACTTTATTTACAGTGTTTTGTCCGAAGTACAATAAACATTTTGGCAGAAGAGAAAATAACAACTTTAATTTCATTGGTAACAGTGGGGGATTCAGGGAGTAGCAAAAGTGATGCTCATCCCACAACCCAACCACCACCCCCGTCCTTCCCCACCAGTTGGGATTGAAAATTTTTATAATGTAGGTCTAATTGAAAGCTATTAAAATTACTTCTAAAATAAACAAATACATATTTTAATTAACTTAATCGGACTCCCCCCCCCCACCAATAAATCAGTTAATTACAATATTTAATTAACTAACATTTTTTGGGGTTCAAATCAGTTAATTGTTTTAATTAACATTAATTAACATATTGGAACCCAAAGAAATCAGTTAATTTAAAACCTAAAATTAGTTATTCAAATATTTTATTTAACTGTTTGAATGGTTTAAAAAAAGTCAGTTTAAGTAAAACATTTAACTTATTAGAACCCCAAAATATCAGGTAATTCAATGTTCTATCCCAGGGGCAGATTTAGGGTGGGGGTGCCAGGGCTGGCCCTGCCCCTACCCTTTTATAAAGTTAAAAAAATTAAGAAAGAAAGATAGATAAAATTGATCACCCAAATTTCCTCAGAGGTTATATTTGGGCATCTAGAAAGAAACAATTTTGGGGGATATTCCCTTTGACCCCCTACAGTAGTGTTATCTCAATCTGCCCCACGTTCAGTCCCCATTTCGGACATCTCTGGGTCCGCCCTGTATACCATATTTACCCACCAGACTCAACAGTACGTGTACTCCCTGGGGCTTTCCCAAATATAGCAATTTAATTCCAGCTGGCTTTGTACCAGTCTCTGCTTATTGCTGGCACAGGTAAAATACTCGGAACAGATATTCAAATCCGGTGTGTACGTGTGGATTTGCACTTTGCCGGCTTTAGTCAGGCTGGCTTCCAAAAGTGGCCTTGATAAACTCCAACCTTACCTATCAATATTCTGTACTTTTTTCCAGGACATTGCATTTTATAGACTGATAAAAAAAAGACTCCTCTTTAATGTTTCTTAAATTAAGCACACATTTTGTGATAGATGCCAGGTCCATATGGTGTAATTGATAAGCTTCAAGTGCGGTTTAATATTCACACCCTCTGGCTTAGTTTTTTTTTTTTTTTTTTAAGTTTTGGATCAACACATTTTTATAGTAGGTTATTCTGGTTTTAACTACAAAACTATTGACATATAATATAGTCTAGACTCTAGTGTGTTTTAAAATTTTTAAATCTCTTAAAATTTCATAAATATTACAGACATTATCACATCAACCCACACTGTAAATTATTTTATTTGAAGCATCACAAGGCAAGACTGTTTTTATATTGCCCCAGTGTGTACAATTTTTTTATAAGAACCAGTAAAATTTTGTCCAGACTCAATGTTCTTATTTTTTTTTGCCAATTTCAGGCTCAAAATGTTCTTACTTTGTTCTTAGATTTACACACTTTTCAAACATGGAAAATTATAATTTTACAAACGTATATTAGACCTACTGTACTGTATTATAGAGGGTATTGTATTGTCAGATAAGTTTTTTCCATTATTTTTTAAATACAAACCTCATTCGACATCTTACCTCAGCCTGAATTTGTTATTATTTTGTTCTTAATTTTTAAGCAATGTGTTCTTATAAAAACAAAATGAATGTACCAGCAAAATCAACGGCAAGTGATAAAATCCATCCATCGATCATCGTGTCATAATGGACAATAAC